CTCCCCATGCCCTGAATAAACTCTATTCTATGCTATACCTTCGTGTGGCTGGTCCCTCAGGGGGAAGAGATGCCTTGGCATGGGCCCGCTGAGACATCCCTTCCATCATCGGTTTCCCTCCATCATTGGTCCTCTTTCCTTCAACAGTAGTGGCCATACCTAGTCATAACAGACCTGCTCAAGTTTCCTTTCTGTTGCTTTGATAAGCACCATGACCAAAAATAGCATGAAGAGGAGATTGCACCTGTTTCACCTTACAGGTCACACTCCACTGGTTAGGAAGTCAGTTCAGGAACCCAAGCAGGTCAGTGGCTGAAGCAGATACTGTGGAGGACAGCTGCTCCCTGGCTCCCTTTCTTATATAGCCCAGACCCACTGGCCTAGCCCACAGTGGGCTGGGCTCTCCCACATCAATAAGAAATCAAGAAAATGCCCCCAGACATGTCCACAGGTCAACTGAATGTAGGTAATTTTCAGTTGAGGTCACCCTTTCCTAGGTGTGTCAGACTGACAACAAAGATTAGCCATCTAGACTATATAAATTAACGTATAGCCTATATTATACTACATTGGAGAAACTGTAAATGTTTTTTCTAAACAAGTAATGAAACAAGGGGATCTACTCTTCACTGTTATTCAATATGGTGCTTGAAATCTTAGCTACAGCAGTTAGGCCAAGGAAAGAAATAAGACGGATTCAAACAGGAAAACCATTACATACTCAGGCCTAGACACTAGGATAACACCCAACAACAGGAAGGCATGGTTTGTAGCAGGAGCACTCCCGCAGAGGCGGGACTTCTGCCGACGCTGCCATGAGGGACAGGCCCGTTCAGGTAGTTGAGAGGCGCCCAGCCTCACCCCGCCCTATATCCACTCTACTCCACAAGGGCGGCCCAGGAAACTACCTCCAAAGCTCGTGCTCGGTCGCCCGGACTACAACACCCAGCAAGCACTGCGGCCCCGCGTCTGACTTGCGCAGTAGCCTCCATTGTAAAATGCTATGACAACAGGGCGAGGGCGGCTTGGATTTAGGCTGGAGTGGGGAGGTGTCTTCCACAGGCTGTTGTCTTGCAGCCTCACCCCTCTTACAGCCTCCCTGGTGGTTTCATCCTCTCTGTGAGCATCCAGACGTGGAGTTTTTCTCTCTTGTCTTGTGGCTTCCGAGGGATCCATGTCGTTTTCCCTGCTTGTCTCTGGGGGATGACAAGAGGGTGCAGGGGATCTTGGGACTCACTTCACCTCCGTGGAGCTTGTGTTGCTGCTTGGCAGGATTCTGTCTGCTTGGGGACGTGGAAAACTTCGAACACAAGACCAAGAGGTACTAGTGGAGTTAAGTGTTGCTTTTCCTTGCACGGCTGTTACTTCTGTTCCAGCACTGGATCCTCGTCAGGAGGGAAGTCTGTGGATAGTGGGTTCGTAGCAAGAGGAGGCAAAGCCCACTTGTTGGCACCACCTAAGAAATATTCCAGAAATTATCTTCGGATGTATAAATGCATTGGCTACGCTTAGTCAGCAAGATGCCGTGTAATGGTTTGGGAGATGTAGGACGATCGGTTTCCTAGAAAGGAGGCTTGCATTCAAACAAACCGCTAACAAGACGTGGGTAGATCCTATAACCACCTTTGAGGGAGGAGTGATTTTTAGGGAGTCCATGTAGCAGTCACATGGAGTAAGAGCTTCTTTCTCCTGTGACATTTCAACAGGTCTTGTGAGCAGAGCGTCAAAGCAGTTCTCAATCTGCGACTGAAGCGGGAACATGTTGATACTCCCCCGTGCTGCCTGCAATAGGATTAATGGTTATCCTTTCTGTTTCCTTTGCAGACCACAGCAGTTTAGATGGACTAAGCTGATTTTATCAGCAGCTGCTCCCAAACAAGGTCTGCATTTGGCTTTGATTTTCTGTATAAATGTATAGATTATTTTTTGGTATCTCACATTGTCTTTAAATATCAAATTGTGTCTAATGTATACACATCTTACTTTATACACACAAATTGAAAGATCCTGGAGGGAAAGTAGGGTTTTTATATTTTCTCCCTTTTATTTTTTAAAAATGTATAACGTGGCCCAAGCTGGCCTGGAACTTACTGTGTCGTCTAGGCCATCTTTGAACTTCCCTTGCCTCAGGCTCCCCAAGTGTTGTTATGACAGGTGTGGGCCACCATGCAATGTATTACTGTTTGCTAGCATTCCAAGAGACCAGGAGTAACTTATAAGTAATATTTAAAAGGATGGTGCTTGAGAGTTTTTGTTTTTTTGGTGATGGGTTGGACCATTATAAGAATTAAAAACAAGAGACTTCATTTTGAAAACCATTTATAATTTATTTGTAAGAGTTTAGGGATTTTTTTTATTATGTATAATGGTTGTGGCTAAATTATACCTCCCACTTACAAATTGATTAGATTTTAATTTTTTTAATATTTCAGTGCATGTCCGTGTGTGGGCATGGGTCCCACAGTGTGAGTGTGGAGGTTAGAGGACAACTTGCAAGAGTCAGTTCTCTCATACCATGTGGGTCCTGTCAGGCTTGGCAGCAAGCATCTTTGTTTGCTGAGCCATTTCACTGGCCCTATGGTATAGCTTCTTAATGGAAATGTTCTTTGTAGGGAAAAAAATCTACTAGCCATACTGTAAAGTTTTATGACTTTTCAGATATATAGGAAGTCTCATTTCTCAGAATGTATGTATGTACTTGTGCATGGTGTATGTGTACCACTGAACACTCCAATCTCCTCAGATATTTTTGAAAAGTATTGAGATATATCAAGTTAGTATAAAACGTTTGCTGATTATAACATTTATAAGGTCTGGGGGTGTAGCTCTTTCAATACCCAGTAAAATATACATTCAGCCATATACATAAGTACTTGCACACACACTGCAAGCATGCACATATTCACATACACAGGCATGTACATGTGCTCACTAGCACGCACACACACTTTCTGATCTGCCCTTTGGATGTCCCAGTTGAAATTCTTCTGTGCCTAGAAGACTCTGCTGTCACACCTGGGTGACCACCACCACAATTATTTCCTTATTACTATTACTGGATTATTACTGGCTTTTATTAAATGATTAAGTTTTATTTATGAGACAGGCAGTTTTAACGCATCACTGAAGTAGACTCACACATATAGAAGTGACATCAATGCCCGTATAAACCCAAAGAATGCAGTGGGAACAACCTGCGATTCTGAGGCAGGCTCTGAAATCAGAAAGTTGACCTAAAGCTGCTGTTGTTCACATCTGGAACTTTCTCCAAATAATGTTTCTGTCATTAAATTTCAGGAAATAGCATCAGGTTGTCTGGTCTAGGACTATGGTACAGTCATGTAAAATTAAACAAATATTGCTTTGAAAGTAATATGGCAGCTGAGCAGTGGTGGTGAACACCTTTAATCTCAACACTGTGGAGGCAGAGGCAGGCATATCTTTGAGTTCGAGGCCAGCCTGATCTACAGAGTGAGTTCCAGGACAGGTGGAACTACACAGAGAAACCCTGTCTTGAACCACCACTCGAAAACAAAAGAAAAAAAAAAGCATTATGATATTGGAGTTTTCAGGCACAGGGGTGGTGGTCAGATAGACCTGTGTTCACTTCCTGACATGATGATCCAACCACACAACCTCAGAGAAAGCCTTTATACTCTAGCATCAAGTGATCTTGGCAGTGGGGAAATGCAGTGGTCTAGGATATGCACTTCCTTAGCCAGTTATTTGGGGGAGGGTTAGTATATTTTCTAGGCAGGGCCTATGAGATTCTTTTCTTTTGCCTGACTGAGGTGAAGAGAGTCATTCTTGGGCTGCTGAGTAGTTCTTCTTCCTCTCTGTCTTCCTTCCACTGAGCAGCCTGTCTCTCCCTTCGTCTTCCCGTTGACTGGCTGCTGCAGTGTGGTAGGTCATTTATTCTTTAGTTGGTTACTATTCCTTCTTAACAGTGCTTATGGCTCCACGTTCTCATCCTTTATGACGCTTCTGCCATATTTGATGTAGTTGCTATATTAGTTGGCTTTCAGATACTGAAACAATATACCTGAGATAATTAACTATACTATTACAATACACCTGAGATAACTAATTTACAAAAGAAACAGTTTATTGGGCTCCTAGCTTCAGAGGTTCCAGTCCACAGTCACCTGTTGCTGTGGTGAGTACATGTTACCGTGGAAGCACATGGCAGAGCAAAAGTGTTCACGTCAGGGCTAGGAAGCAAAGGAGAAGTGGGCAAGGCACACAGCCCCGTTTAGGGGTTTCCCTGATGATGATGACCTTGAATGGGGCCCCGCTTTTTAAAATTTATTTAACATTTCATTGACTTTTTTTGGTGAATTTCACATTATATATCCCAATCCCACTCAACTGTCTGTCCCTGTGTACCTTCCCTTTACCCTTGTAGCCTCCCCCCAACAAGAAAGAAAAAGAAACAAAGGAAAAAGCAAAAAAGCCCACTGGTGTGTCACATGGTACAGCCGAAGCCCACTGGTGTGTCACATGGTATAGCCGAAGCCCACTGGTGTGTCACATAGTCACCCGTTTGTGAGTCTGATTCGAGGCCTCTGGTTTCTGCTATATCACCAGTACTGGATCCTCAGTGGGATTCCCCTCAGATACCTTGTTGTTGTCCTGTGTCATGGAGATACTACAGCTTTGGATCTGCAGAACTCTCCAGCAGTGCCTATATGGGGTACATGTTGAGGTGGGCCAACTCAAAGCCTTGTGTCTGGGCCTGGGTGGTAGCTGAGCTGGTCAGCCCACTGGCTCTTTCTTCCACACCCACTGCACCAAGGCCAGCTCTCCAGCACTGCAACTGGGCCCACCAAGGAGCCTGCCACAAAGCAGCCTGTGAACCACGCTGTTAACTGAGGATGTTTAGTATCGTGCTTATAGCAGTCGGTCACAGCTTTCTCCATATGGTCCCCACTTCTGAACTAGACCCTTATTCAGTATCTGGTGAATGCATTCTCTCTACCACATGTCTCAAGAAAGGATTTACTTATTTTGCTGCTCTGGGCTATGAGAAAAGATGCACCTTAGTGGGACATGGTGGTGCATACCTGAGATTCTAGCATTCAGGAGGTGGAAGGTCAGGAGTTCAAGACTGGCATGACTGTCTAGCAAGTTTGAAGCCAGCCTGGGCTACATGAGACCCCGTCAAACAAATGAGAGGGCTGGTGTGTGGGGAGGATAAGGCTAAAGTATGTAATGTTACTATTTTTCCTGTGTATCTGGAGTATGTAATGAAAGAATTTGTAGTCTATTAAATACCATTGCTTCATTCAAGTAAAAATCCAATAAAACTATAATAAAGTGTTTAATGCATTCTTTTGGGTACTCACTGCCAGATTTAAGTTGGGTCATCTGGCAGTGAATGTGATTATGTAAAACCATTAGTCATGAGTGATAGAAATACTTTTCAGAAGCCCTTATGTGTATTAGAACTCATATTTATTTATACCCCCCTTCCCCACTTTCGAGGCAGAGTCTCATGTAGGCCAAACTAGTCTTGCTATGTACTGGAGGCTGGCCTTGAACTCCTAATCTTTCCATTGCTACCTTCCCAATGTTGGGACTATAGGCATGCATGCCATGCCCAGTATTATGCAGTGCTGGAGACTGAGGTCAGAGCTCCCTACCTGCCAGGCGAGCATTCTGCCAACTGAGCTATAGTATATGGGCAGCACAGTAACTCCTTTCTCAGCAGAGGTAAGGGATGGTGGATGGAATCCCACACATGCTTTCTCTGTGTATGTTGAGTGAACGTGTGTGTAGTGTTTGGGTGTGTGCACAAGTATGTGGGGGTCAGAAGTTAACCTCAGTTTTGTTCCTCAGGAACATCCAGCTTTGTTTTTTTCACACAGGGTCTCTCAGTGGCCTGGAGCTTGCTGCTAAGGCTGTGCTGGCCGGGGAGCCCGAGGGACCCTCCTGTCTGTGCCTCTCTAGTGCTTTTCTACCTGGCTTTTCCACATGGGTTCTTGGGATTGAACCCACGTTCTCATGATTTCAAAGTGAGCCCGGCACTGACTGAGCCATTTCCCTAGCCCTCCTTTTCTGTATTCCTGTATGGCTTGGAATTTGCTATTTAGGCCAGATTGGAAGGAAATCTATAGCTTCTACCTCTAAATGCTGGTATTACAGACTAGTGTATCCCTCACCTGGCTTTTTTTTGTTTTGTTTTTGTTTTTTTGAGACAGGGTTTCTCTGTATAGCTGTGGCTGTCCTGGAACTCTCTCTGTAGACCAGGCTGGCCTCAAACTCAGAAATCGGCCTGCCTTTCTGCCTCCCAAGTGCTGGGATTAAAGGCGTGTGCCAACACTGCCTGGCTCACCTTGCTTTTTTAAAAGATAACTTTTTACAATGTTAGGAAACTTATATAGAGAGGTACCACCTGCTTGGATATCACAATTTTCTGTTTTGTGTTGTTTGAGACAGGGTTTCTCTGTTTACCTCTGGCTGTCCTGGAACTCTGTAGACCAAGCTGGCCTTGAACTCAGAGATCTGCCTGCATCTGCCTCCAGAGTGCTGAGGATTAAAGGCTGCACCACCACTGCCCTGCCCCCCCCTTTTTAAAATACATCTTTTTAAGACAAGGTCTAACTATGTAGCTCAGACTGGTCTAAAACTTGTGGCAATCGTACTGTACTGCCTTAGACTCATGACTACTAGGATTATAACCATGAGCCAATATGGCTGGCTTGTTGTTACTTTGAATTTGTCATTTTGCAATAATTTCACTAAGAATATATTTTGAAAATTAACATATCACAATCTCAGAAATGTTTTCCCATAACAGTAATATAAATAGTCTAAACTCATAAGCTGATAATATTAAACTAAACTACAATATTTTTTAATTAGACTTTTTGGTAGCATA